CAAGGATACCGAGCTCGGGGAGGTCAGACTCAATCCTGGTGGGCTTCTGGTACGGGGCTCCAAACTGACAGCAGTCATACACCACGGAGACCTTGCTATGCTCGGACAGGAACTTCTGGAGAGGCTCCCAAGAGAAGAGCCGGGATCCCCGGGGGTTCTCGAGGGACCACCTGACGCCGAACTGAACGCACAACCGAAGTAGACGAAGAGTGACATGAGCACACCGCCGACCGGCGCGTATAGCAGACGTATCATTGGCCCCACGGCGAGCAACTGACCACGGAGTGCACGGAGTCCCGAAGTGCACGAACCAGACCTTGCGAGAGACGATCCACTGGCGAACGACGGTCTCGATGCTGGGCCGAAGCAGGTCGCCCCAACCCCCGAACTTGATGTCGATCGGAGCCGCGACCGCCAGACCGAGCTGCGCGAGAGCCCCCGTCCAGCGAGCCCCCCCCGAGAAGATCTCGAGAGCCGCCCGACGTCCACGAAGCCGAGGTACAGGAACACGAGCCGGCTCGACCGCGACGAACGGCGTGGGCGGAGGGGGCGGCAGCCCGGGAGGCTCTGTCGTCCATTTTCGGCCAGGCCGGGCATGCAAACGAAGGCTCCCGAGGGCAGGCGGCCCGCGCGGCGCGCTCCCGGCGCGCGTACGCGGCCCGGGGCGGCCAAGACGTGGCAAGGCCCGCTCGGAAGAGAGCAGCCGAGGCCCCGGCGCGAGTCTCCGTCCAACTCGTCCGAGGGCCCCAGCAGGCCGCGGCGCAGGCACTGGCCGCGGCCGTGGGCGGCGCCCGCGTGGGCAGGCCGCCGCCGGCGACAGGTCGCGGGCCCCCTCGGCCTCGTCGAACGTCGCCTTGCGTGCAGGGTGGCCAGGGGCGCCGGCTGCGGGCCCCTCTTGTGGCCGTGGGGAGCGCCGCGGCCCGCAGCGGCCAGCAGCTCCAGAAGCCCGCGGCGGCGGCCGCGGCGGGCAGGTCTGAAGTCGGCCGCCGCGCAGCCGCGCCGCGGGGGGAGGCTCGCAAGCCTCCTCGGCGACTGGCCAGCTGCCGGTCGCCGAGGGCGCCGGCGGGGCCGGCGTCGGGGGCGCCGACGGCGGGCAGCCCGCGGGCAGAGCGGGCCTGTCCGACCTGCCGCCAACCCGCCGCTGCCCTGGGCGGTAGACGCCCTGCAGCGCCTTCCTCGACCCCGCGTCACTGAGGTTGCGGTCCGTGTCGAGGTGTCGGCGCCGCCAGGAGATCCCACAGGCGATCTGGTAGGCGGCGGCCCTCCGGCACAGGCAGGCGAGGCCGAGGTCCACGGCTCGCCCCTTCTCGATGGAGAGGAGCTCCGACATGTTGTCGCCCAGGCTGAGCACGCGGGACCCGTGGCAGTCGACCTGCCGGGCGGCGTGCCGCAGGCCCCCCAGGGCGATGCGGCCCTCCAGCAGGTGAATGGGGGCCCCGCGGCGCCAGGCGCCCTCCACGATGAGAGACCAGTCCCTGGGATCGACGAGGCTGTCGGGCACGGAGACGCCAGCAGGTCGCACAGTGGGCCTGAGACGACCCTTGAGTACGCCTCGGGCGCCCTCCCTCGAGCGCGTCGGCGGGGGGGCCCAGACGGCCACGCCTGTAGCGCCCGGCGGCTCCCCCAGCACTCCTCCAGCGCCCGGCACCCAGCCCGGGGAGAAGGCGTCGTCGAGCGCCGCGTCGGGCCGCTTCTCGTCGGGGACGAACCTCCACCTCTCCCGGGTAGCAGCCAGCTGCCGAAAGAGTCGCACGTCAGCGCGTCGGCGGTGGAGAGCGTAGCCCGCCTCGGACGAGTCGGAGCACAAAACCAGGGAGGACATCGGCCGGTCCAAGAAGACGACGGCCTGGAAGATGAGGCCCCTGAAGAGCTGGATCTCCCGGCGGGCCCCAGCAGACAGAGCGACTGGGGGCCCCTGGCCCTGCGCGTCCACGAAGCGGTAGAGCAGGCGGAAGATCGAGAGGGCCGGCCGCAGCAGCAGGCAGTGCTGCACACAGTGCCCGAGGAACACTCGGATCTGCCAGGCCGCGCGCGGAACCCCAGGGCGCTCGAGCTCCTGACAGGCCAAGTAGAGGCGCCAGGCTCGGTGATCGGAATGACGCAGACGCCTCCGCCTCCCGTCGTACTCGACGCCGACGGTGGTGAAGTGCGTGGCCGGGCCCTCGACCTCGTGGTACGCGATGCCGAGCGAGTCGAGCTTGTCCTTCGCGGCCTGCAACGCCTGCCCGACGTCGTCGCTCGAAAGGCCCAGGAACGAGACGTTGTCCACGTAGACCGACCCTGTGGGGCGGAAGGGTGCCGCGACGGGAGCCGGCTGCTTGTCGAGCAGCAGGCGTCGGGCACCCCCCGGCAGCGTGTCAGAGACCCAGGACGTGACGGACGAGTGCACGGCCCAGAGTGCCCATGACCACCCCATCGGCACCCCGCGGAAGACCGGGAAGACGAGCTCGTCGGGGTCGACAGGGGACAGGCCGTCGGGCGTCCAGATGTGGGAGACCTGGTAGTAGGAGGCCCGCTCAGGGAAGTCCATCCCGAAATCCTCCGCGACGCGCTCCGAGAAGAACTGGTAGAACGAGTCCTGGAGGTCGAGGGACGACCCGAAGATCTGAGCGGGAGAGCCATCAGCACTAACCCACCCAGCGTCCGAGAGCGCAGCATCGGACCAGTCCTGCTCGCTGAGGGCAGCCGGGGTCCCGAGGGCAGCATGCGGCGGCGCCCAGTGGGTGCGGTTGGTGTCGCGAGCGTCGACGACCAGGCGGATCCAGCCGCCCTTCTTCTCGACGAAGAAACACCCCACACGTGACCTGATTCGCCTCTGGAAGCCGACCAGCCCCCGCCCCGCGAGCCTGAGAAGGAAGTCCCGCCGAAGGCTGGCGTCGCTGGCAAGCCGCGCGTCCCAGTACGGCTTGATCGGCGGCAGGAGCTCGAGGTCCTGCTCCACCGCGCGGTCCGGCTTGCGGATGTAGGCGTCGGGGTCGCGGAAGGCGTCGACGACGAACTTGGGGCAGACCTCCTCCACGTCTCGAGGCGTGACCGAGGACTGCCAGAACTTGAGCTTGGACTCCTCGTACGGGACGACCTTGGACGGCGCGCCTCCGTAGAGCGAGTCGGACTTGAGGAGCTCCTGAAGGGCTCCGCGAGGGTGGAGATCTGCCGGGCGAGGGCCATACTCCGCCACGCAGCGGCCGAGCTGCCGGCCACACGAGGACGAGGTCGCCGTACCCGCAGTCCCTGAATCGGCAGCGCCACCTGGCCCGCGGCCACGATGGCGCACCGCGCAGGCGGCGAGACAGTTGATCGAATGAACTGCCTCACGAACACGGTGTTCACGTGAGCGTCGCTGGAGCACCCGCTGGCGCAGGTACCGCGGCGCCCCGCTGAGGTCGACCGGCGGCGCAGGCCCCGGGACCGAAAGCGGCAGCGGGTCCCCGTGCGAGGAGCGCGATCCCGATGCCATGGGGAGGACGAGGAGGCGGCCGCGGCGGAGGAACCCGCGGCGGCAGCCAGGCAGGGCGGGGCGCCGCAGGACGCCCAGCCCAAGGAGGGGGCCGCCCGGCCCCCTGCTACTTGCCAGCGTCGGCCCCGCCACCCTTCGGCCCCTTCGGGGGCGCCTTGGGCTGCGCGGCCGTCCTCTCCTCCTGCCACTGCCGATTCGCCTTCATGGTCTGGGCGCGGGCACGCGCCTGGTCGCCAACCCATCCGTCGAACTCCGGCAGCACCATGCCGCCCGTGTCGTCGACCCCCGTGTCGAGGATGAGGTCGAGCCCCTCGAAGTCGGGGGCCCGAGGGTTCTTGCGGGTCGCCGACTCCAGCTGCTTGAGCCGCCTGACGAGATACTCCGCCCCCGCAATGTTGAACAGGTCGAGCTGAGCGAACTGCTGCATCATCCGAAGAGACACGCAGATCATGTGGTGCTCCCGGGCGACGTTGCCGCGCTCGGCCACTCCGCTGCGGCGGAGCCACGAGGTGTGGTGCTCCTCCCAGTTGCCCTGACCACCGTCTCGAAGGGAAAGCACAGCCTCCCTCGTCGCACGGCGGCCCTGCAGAGGCCAGCCCGGTATCGTCGCCTCCTTCATGCGGCGGACCGAGTCCCGGAAGTCGATGTACCTGCCTCCATCCTGGTCCCTCTCGTCGCCCACGACGCGCGGGTCCCGGCCCGCGCCCCCGCGAGCTCGGGCGAGGTACGTGTCGAAGTTCTGGCCCTCGCTCACCTTGATCGCGTGGACCCAGACGTCGTCGAGCCGTACGAGCCCAACATCCCCACGCCGCACCAGGACCTCCTCGTTGGCGAGGACCTGCGGCGGCACCTCCTCGCCGAAGTGCGACGAGGTGGGGTCGCTCACGTACCACTTGTCCCCGGGGAGGCCCACGACGCCGGCGAGGTCGAACCCGAGGATCGTCCCCAGGGCCCTGGCCTCCTCGAGGTAGCCCTGCATGTCCTCCGCCGCCACTTCGTCGAAGGCGTAGATGTTGCCAGCATGCCGCGCTGGGAAGGGGCCCGACCGCCGAGGGGCCAGCACTCGGAACGTGGCCAGGTCGACGAAGGCCACCTCCCCATCCGGCGTGAGCCAGATCCACTTCTGCGCATCTCCCTTCACCAGCAGCACACGGTGATGCCACTGGAAGTTCTCGTCGTCCTCGTACCTGACGAGGCACTGGCTGAACGGGGTGTCCAGCGCACGGGCCATGGCGGCCCTCAGTCAGCACGAGCACCAGGAGCCCGACGGCCACGCCCGAGACCCGACGGCGTCGCCACGTGCGTGCCGCCGGCGTCGTCCTCGACGGCGAGGGCGCGCGCTCGCGCCGCCGGCCGTCCAGGCGAGCCCGCCGCCAGCCAACCCGCGGTCGCCAGCCCAGCGCCAAGGGCCACGCCCACCACGGCCGCGCCGCAGAGGTCGAGTCCCGTGTAGTGCCCAGGCGGGAGCGGGCACGGAGGGCAGGGCTGGCACGCGACCCCCTGCAGGTGCTCCGGGCCGCAGCGTGCCAGCTGCTCCCGGAGGATGGCCACCAGGCCGTCGGTCGTGTCCGAGCCCTCGAACACGCAGCGGCAGGAGACCTCGGCGATCCCGCTGCGGCCAGGTCCAGTCCAGCGCTCGGAGAGCGCGCCGAGAACCCACCCGCCTGCAGCGTGCACCCAGGCGGCCATGAACTGTTCACGGCAGAAAGGCTTGAGGGGAAGAGGCAGCGGGAGGGGAGAAAGCGAATGCACAAGCGATGAGACCAAATGCAATGCTCCGCGAGCCGCGCGTGTTCTTGTGGCCGTTCCCGCGCGCCGAACAGGCCGGGGACGTGATTGAAGCCATCCTGGGTTTGTGTGCCCCGTGGCAGGAAGCGCATCGAGGGTCCCGGCAGGACTTCGCGAGCACCTGGGGCCTCACGCTGGAGGACCTGGCCGATCTTCACGGGCGCATCGAGGCAATACTGCCCCACATCTCCAAGCTCGTAGCGGTGGCACACCACCACCCCGACGCACAGGCAGCTGGCTGCCCGCAGACCTGGAGTAAGATGGACAGGCGCGACTTCCAGCTGAAGGCCCCGATGCTCGTCCTCGAGAAGATCGTCCCAGCCGCCTCACTGACCCCCCTGGGTACGCACCACTGCTCCGTGCGCGCGCTTCACATCGCGCTCGCGGGCTCAGACGCCCCCCTGGGTGACGACGACCGGGGTGCTGGGCTCGCCTACATCGGCGGCGGATTCGCGCTTTCGAACACCGATCTGAACGCCCCCATGCCGTCCGCCCCCGCCCCAGGTACCAAGCAGGACCCCCCGCGCATCCCCGACGACAGGCTGTTGGCTGAGCAGAAGCATGGCAGGTTCAAGTGCGACAGATGCGGCAAGGATCAGCTACGCTCCACAGACGGCACATGGATCTCGGACGATACTCGCCTGATGGTAGCGCAGAACCGGCCCCAGGCCTACCTCGACGGTACAAACATGGGATGGCACTGCGAGATCTGCTGGATTCGACACCTGGAGGATAAAGGCATCCCAGCACCAACCGGTGCAACAGTCGCGGATAAGGTCAAGGAGTACGAACACTGGAGGACCGGTGGCGCAAGTGACAAGAAGGCGGGTGCCCTCCCCTCCCTGGGTCATCTCCCACTTGGCTCTGGATGCAGCCCCCAATCGGACACGAGGACACTGGCGGATCTCATCATGACGCCGGCGGGCATGCACATCCCAAAGCGCGCCAACACCACTATTCCCATCCTACGGGTCAGGGATGAGCGATTCGGCCTCAGAGCTGCGGAGAACAAGGTCTACTCTGCTCGGTGCGACACATGCCCCCCAGGGGCACCGCTCCTAGTCTGGAAAACCGGAGCACCTCCCCTGGGATGCTTCATATGGAAGCCAAAGGAAGGAGTGGGTGTGCCCGAGCAAGCAGGGCTGCCTCCCATTGAGCGGCGAGCCATAGCCTGGTGGGAGCGCGACTGGAATGCCACGTGGCGCTGCCGGCGGTGCCTGGTCCCCATCTGGAACATCGGGCACGCGACTCTGGACCACGTCATTGGGAGAGACTACAGGGCACTGTATCCAGCCGAGGCCCCTGTCCTGCCAACGCTCAAGCCAGATCGTAGCGGAGGCCCCAGTGGACATTCTCAACACCCTTCCCTGGATGGGCGCTGACGCCAAGGCCGCAGATCGCTTCGCCAAGACAGGAGCGGCAAACCTCCCTGGGTCCAGCGCCTCGGGAGCAGCCGCCCCCGTGGCCGAGCAGGCCCCCAGGTCTCTCCCGCAGCTCATGGAGCTCCTGCCTGAGCTGCCAGCCCCTCAGGGGCCGCTCCTGGACTGCAGGGAGGTCACCAACCCCACGCTCAGGTCAGACGACCCCAGGAGTAGGTCTGGCAGCGGAGACGTGGTCGTTCAGCAGCTCCTCGTGACCTACCTCCGGGACTTCCACCCTGGACTGGACTACACTTGGCGGCAGTTCTGCCACGGCCATTGCGACGATAACATCCCAGAGCCAAAAAACGAAGAAGCCTCGTGGCCAGGCGGTCGGTTGACGAATTTTCTCAGGGCGGCGTACGGCAACGACGTCCCGAGGGATTGCTCCCCGCGCAACCAGCCCTGGGAAGGCAAGCGGCTGGCCGCCGCGCGAGTCGTCTCCCACCTCACCAACGGCGAGAAACACAAAGAGGCCTGGGAGCGGCACGTCTCGACCCTCGCCCCGGCGAGTGGCTTCAACCCAGTCAGACACGAGATGGGCACGCTGACGAGCTTCCTGCTCAGCCTCAGTGCCGATGCCCTGGCCTCGACAACCATCACCTCCCTGGCGGAGTCGCATGCGCAGGCCATGAGCGAGAACAGGCCCGGCAACGCGGCAGGGCGCCCTCCGACACAGTGGCTGGGCAAGCCCAAAGCTCCAGCAAGACCCGTGGGAGACACCTCCACAGCGTTTGGTGCAGACAGCTCCCTGGGTTCGAAAGACGCCGAGATGTGTGCTGGAGACGCGAAGGTGCCTGGCCCAGCTGCCAAAGAGGAGGGCGACGAAGACAAAAATCCTGCCACTGAACGAGCGGATTCAGCCGACTTTGGAAGCCCCCAAGAGGCTCCTCCCCCTGATGACGGTGCGGACACGGACACGGGCGCGGAAGATGATGGCCCTGGCGCTAAGCCGCCACAGCAAAGCCCAACAGCAGAGAGCATGGAACCCAGCTCCGACGACGACCAGTTGAACGCCTGGGGTGGTGCAGCCACCACTGAGCAGAACGCCAGTGGTTCCAGGGGGCCAGGTCAAGACGAAGCCGCGCGAGACAGAGGCACAGCGCAGGACCTCCGCCCCGCACTACGCAATCCACAAACACCAGACCGCAGGCTTGCCTACTCTGGCGCCGCGGAACGACACGTTCTCAACCAGCTGACCGACGCCCACGGAGGCCCCATGCACAAGGCCTGGTAGGGCTCCGTGGACTTGGAGCGCCGCGGAGAGACGCCCGCCAAGCGCATCACCAGACACCAAGTGGACTTGGGTGGAGTATTATGTGCCTTTTGGTCGGCCTGCACAAAAGGCATCCGGATCCCTGGGTCCAAGGACCCCAAGTCAGACCCGAAGCTGCACACGGACGCGAACATCAACAAGCTCTTGGATGACTGGAAGCACTGCGGATACGATGCCTACGCGATGGGCAAGAAGTATAACTTCTGCATCGACTGGGCAACGGTGCGGGCCGAAAACATGCGCCACACCAGGACCGACGGCGCGGGCAAGGGCAACCACCAACAAAACAGCTGGTACGACCGGGCAAGGAGCTCCTGGGACGCCTGGGACAACTGGCAGAGCGGCTGGAGCTCTGGCTGGCAAGACGACCAGTGGCAGTCAGGAGGCAAGCGTGGTGGCGGCAGGCCAGATGACCGTGGCGAGAAGAGGCAACGGTGGGGCGACTGAGCCCCCCCCCATCCCCAAGAGTTCCAGGTGCAGCGTCCGATTTCCACACTCTGTGCAGCTTTCAGCTGCCTCCCTGGGTTACGTTTCATATACTCGTGTGGCGGCCTTCCGCCGCCCTCCCTGGTACACGCACTTCCTGCCTTTGGACCCAAGTGTGTTTACCAGCAATACCGTCTGCATGGCATCACGGGGGCGTGTTGCGTGCAGGCCATAGTTGGCCCCTGGCCCTGCTGTAATTGTTTCCACCTCTGGCCCTGTTGATCTTCGTCCCCGGGCCTCGCGGCTCTGTGACCGACGCCGACGGCGTTGCCTCGTCTCAATCCAGAACCGCACTCACCAAGCTCCCTGGGTTCTCCAAGGTACTGCGGCCTTCAGCTGCTCTTCAAGCTTCATATACTCGTGTGGCGGCCTTCCGCCGCCCCCCCTGGTACACGCACTTCCTGCCTTTGGACCCAAGTGTGTTTACCAACAATACCGTCTGCATGACAGCGCTGGGGCGCTTTGCGTGCAGGCCATAGTTGGCCCCTGGCCAAGCTGTAGTTGTTTTCACCTCTGGCCCTGTCGGGCTTCGTCCGCCGGCCTCGCGGCTCTGTGACCGACGCAAAGATGGCTTCGCCTCGTCAATGTCCAGAACCGCACTCATGCTCCCTGGGTTCTCTAAGGTACAGCGGCCTTCAGCTGCTCTTCTCTGCGCCCCCCTGGGAGCGACCGTGGGCGGGTGGCTTCCCGACAGCGGGTTTTCAACGAAGGCCAGACGGTGCACTTCTGGTGCCGTTGAGGTACCCCTCCGACACAATGACTTGGGATGCCCACCCGAAAAACATCGCCGCGCCCGGACGCAGGGACCAGTTGCGCACCCACCTGCGCGCACCGGCCACAGTGTGGCAGCGGGTGGTCAGAAGACTGATCCCACATCTGTGCAGTGGTTCGCTGTTCCTTTGCTGGCCGCCAGTTACTGTCGCCCGGACTGGCATCATCCCACCGTCGCTCCCCCGCTCCACCCGGATGAGCGGTCAACTCCCTGGGCTTCTTCGTGACCGCTGGCTGTTGCTTGGGCTGCAGCTGGTAAGAGGCAGCACTGCTCTTCGAGCGCCATCGTCTACTTCACTCAGGTACGCCAGGGTACTATGGATAGGCGGCTCTGTTTGTGCTGGTCACGTTAGAGGCTCCCTGGTACACGTCCCTGTTCTTATCTCGGTTGGCGTCGCTTGCGATTTGAGCCTGGTAGAGGATTGGGTCAGTTGTACCTTCCGCGTAGCGTCACATCATGTCACTTGGTGGCCGCTTGCGTTCGCATCCATTCGCGGTTGTCTCCTGGGCCTGGCGTGCTTGGTTCGGTTCTGACACCACGAATTCCACGCCTTTGGGCTGTGTGGGTGCGTACTCTGATGAAGCTGCGACGGTTCGCTGGCGCTGTCAGAGTCCAACCTCTCCGTACGGGATGCCGACTGACGACAGCTCGCGTGTCCCTCGGTTGATGCTTGTGCATGGCAGGCACTCTGGAACCCCTTGCACACCATTCCCGCCGAGGCTGGAGACTCCCTCCTGTTCAATTAGTGTCTCAGAGCGCACCAATACTATGGCCTCTGACACGGTGGGGGTCTTGCATCGCGCCACTTTGGCAGCGTAATTACTTATCCCTGGGTGCTGGTTTCGCCGTCAGACTCCCTGGGCAGCAGCACCCTTGCACCCGCCGCCTGGCGCCGGCCGCGGCCCGCGCGCGCCCCCGGCCAATTTGTATCGGCCGCAGCCCGACCGTTACCCGCCGCCGCTGGCGCTTCCGCCCGCGGCTGTAAAAAAAAAAAAAAAAATGAGGGCGGGCCGTTTTCAAAATGTGGCTCTCGCCTTATCGCCGCGCCCATTCGTTATAAACATTTGCAAAAGCTGCACCCATTGAGAGCGGCTCGTTTTCAAAATGTGGTTCTCGACTCAGCGCCGCGTGCCTTCGTTGAGATTTGCGGATTGGGGGTGGGTCGTTTCCCAAATGTGATTCTCGCTTTGGCGCCGCGCACACTCGCCTTAAACATTTGCAAGAGCTTCACGGATTGAAGGCGGGTCGTTTTCAAAATGTGGCTCGCGCCGGCGCCGCATACGATCGTTTCAAAAGCTTGCAAGTGCTTCACTGATTCTCATGGATAACGTATCAGAAACGGTTGTAAGGGCACAACAGGTACGTTGATTCGCGGTTTTGAAATCCCAGGCATCGTGTCGTGGCACGACTCAGGATCGCCATGGCGAAACAGTCAGGCTTACTTTCTTGGGTCGCGGCCGCGATCGAAGAGCGCAACCGGCGAACAGGGTGTCCGGGCCGACGGGCAAGCCTAATTAGCTACTGGGCGCGACGCAAGCCGGCCGGGCCAGCTCACAAGGCGGCAGCTGGGGCAGCAGGGCGGGGGCTGGCTGCCTGATCTGGAACGCCCAGGGAAGCTCGAGCAACGTGCAGCCCAGAGCAAAATGACAGTCAGGTTTGCTCGTGGCGTTGAAATCCTGATAATGGGTGTTTTGGAATGTGCAAGATGTTCACACGGTTGTCCCCCAATGGGGCAGTCCCCTCAATGGAAATGACCCCTTGCAAGAACCTATGAAGAGGGATCTTGGAGGAAGGGTGCATTCAACATCGTTGATGAGTCTTGAGTTTACACTGGTCCTCCTCCTCCT